ACAAGATACCCCAGAAGAAAGACAAAGGAAGAGAAAAAGATATTTAGAACTACAAGACGCTTTAACTAAGGCCTTTACAGAGGATAAAGAAGAGTATGATCGTACCACATTATCGTCGTCATCATCATCAACACCGTTGGGGAGGCCTTATGGTAAGACCAATTTCAAAAGGTAATCCCTTGGCAGCATAATCACGTAATGCCTTCATTTGTATGATATGTATGTATGATAAATTTTCTACCTTTTTTCTCTATTTGTATCTCGACTATTCTTGCTATCTTTTTGGTCTGTAGTATAATTTTTGACCGATTGATTAGCTATTACATGAAAGAATTGTATTCTATACATCTTCATAAAATCATAATTATACCAGATTTAGGTACTACCATTGAAGGCATACTCTTTTGTGAGATAAACTATCAGATTTCAAGAATTATTCTTCATCACACCGCAAAAAATAAATCGAGGTACACATTTTTGTTCTGTTTAAAATTTTTGTAGTCTTTACAATTGGAAATTATGATCTTGACCAATGGCTGAATTGGTATTAGAGACGAGATGCCACTGTTTTTTAGTAAAAATTACTTGAATTGGAGCATCCTCATCTTAGTCACAGTTTGTTAGTAAAAATTTATTGAGGTCTTGTCGGCTTGTCCTGATAGAAAAAATGAATCAAGATCTTCACTATACCTTATTAAGGCTTGGTTCTTAAATTAATACTTCCTTCGTTTCTTTAGTCATGTTTGTCAATGCACAAATTTAACCATTCATATCTTTTATTACCGATATGCTAAAATTATGAAAAATTGATATTTTGAAAATATATATCGTGACGAATCTAACAAGATCCTTCATGACTATATTTTTCATTACGTATAAAGCACAAAATACGATCAAAGGGGAATATGAATAGTGCTAAAGTCAAAACGTGGCAACAAAAAAAAACGGATGTAGTAGAAGATTAGACAAAATTTGGTGTTGAATTGTCAATTGTTGTATCTGTGCTAGTTGATCGGCAGATTCTTAGACAACTTGAGATATTGAAACACATCCTTTTTGAATGATAAATGAATTCACTTAACTTTATTTCACATTTAGATATACCATACACACGGTCTATCCATGATCAATTATTTTGCTCTTTAGCTATCTCCCAAATGACAAATTAAGCAACAAATCGACTTGTATTTTTTATTGTATGATTAAGCTAAAAGTAAATTGTAATTATCTCAATAAGGTCTTTATCTTATTTTTGTTGAACTGGAATTATTTTTACTAAATTGAAATTATTTTTATTGATTCTATATTATAAATCTTTTTTAAAATTACTGATGTTTACTGAATTGAAATTATTTTTATTGAATAATATTTTTGTAAGGTGAAATGAATAGGGCCTAAGAGAAGACTTACGGCCTAATATCACTTCAAAAGTTAAAGTTATCCATGTACAAACAATACTAGTAATAATAGTTGTAACAATAATAATCTCCCTTCCTTTTTATTATCACATTAAGTAATCATGTGGTCAAATAAAAAAAAAAACACTTTGATTATAAGTAAATTCATTGATGTATAAAATGATGAAGTTTCTACATTGAAGAGTGTGCAAAAAACAAATGATACAGACATAAAAGAACGAAGGTAATAGTGGTATGATTATTGAAAGTAGGGGGAAAAAACTCTCCACCTAGTCGAGGGAGGGATATAAAGATTATAAACATTTTCATTAGATCAAGCCTTGATTAATATTGAAACTTGGGAATTGGGAAATCCACATACAAGCAATTACTCTACGTCCGATTATTTTACTTGTACGTGCTATGTCGAAGATAGAGTGCCACAGGGGAAAGTGTTATAGTCTATTGTAAGGTATGAGACTTGAGTCCCACATCAGTTGTATGGGGATGGATGTGGGGTTTTTATAGGACCATGGGCTCTCCTCTCGAGCCAGCTTTTGGAAAGGCTCTCTTATTGTCCAGTATCACCAAAAAAAAAAAAAGGCAATATTTTTTGTTTTTTACTTGATCAGGAGAGGGACCAAGAATGGAGCTGTCTCGTTTTTTTTTTTTTTTTTTTTTTTTGGGTTGGACGGGAGAGCTGTCTTTTTAAGACATAGGATAGGCTCAATTTTTGGAAGAAAACTTTAAGGGGTCGTCTGGTTCGCACAGGGTAAACAAAATGGAATCAACAAAGGGAAAGGAGGAGAAAGGAAAGCTAATCCCTCATTTTTGTATTGTTGTTTGTTTTACATAAACAAAGGGAATCACATTTGCAACTATCACTACTCTCCTCCTTTTACAACCAGTCAACCACCATTACCCCTTAAATCTACCATTCACCTACCACCACCACCAATTTAGCCACCACCCTCCTCACGACTTGCCACCGTCTCCCCTGTCGCCTGCCTGGCCACACTGATTCCCTCCCCTCTACTGCCGTTGATGCCCTCTTCTCTCTCAATTTTTATTTTTTTGGGGTGGTTTTGTGGTGGATCTGGAGGTTTTGGAGATATGGGTGGTGGTTGTGTCGAATTGGGTTAGGTGGTTTACACAAAAGGTGGATTTTTCGAGTGGGTTTGGGTCGATTTTAGTGCGAATGTTTTCGGGGAGGGTGGGTTTAGGGTGTTTTCGGTGGGGTGATTTTCAGGGAGGGTAAGGCAAGGTAAGGTGAGGCGAGGGGTTTCGGTGGTGGGCGAGGGTGAGGCAAGGGGTTTCGGTGGGGTGGCTAGCTGTTTCGATGGTGGGGAGTGTGGTGCGGTGGTGGCTGGGTGGTGGCGTCAGTGTGTCGACGATTTGTTGGTGGCTAGGCGATGGTTCTAGTGGTGGTTGGGCGGTGGTGTCGGTGGGCAGTTGATGTTTCGAGGGTGGTCAAGGTAGTTGGGTGAAGAGGAGTTTGGGGGTTAGGGTGATTCCCTTAGGAGGTGGGGAATGAAAATAGAGGAAAATGGGGTAATGGGAGGGGTAAAGGGAATAATTGAATTTGCCTATCAAACATCAACAAAGGGGATCACGACAGTTGATTTCCTTTCTCTTTATTGAATACCCCCAACCAAACGGCCCCTAAATATGATCCCTACAATGTCCTAGACGATAGTGCCAAACTAAAGACGAGACAACAACAAAATATGCACGAATAGCTTATGATATGGCTAACCGATTCAAAGTAGTGCCAAATTTTAAGGAGAATGTACGTACTCCACTGTTTAAATGGTTGCTTGTTAAAGTCAATTTTTTTTTGGGTGAACCGATAGGCAAGTCCCAAATGTTTTTCGTAGTAATTAGTCGAGTTAATGTAGCTTAATGGGTCCATTTTTTTCTCCTTAATCCTAATTACTTAATTAGTAATAATGATGTGTCAACCCGCATTAAGGAATAGTAGGATGCTATTATTTTTAATTGGATTGAATATTAGAATCTAACCACCCAAAACCGATCCCGAATCTGAATTAGTTCAAAGGGTGAACCGGGTGGAACACAAAAAAAAAACTAAAAAATAAAAAAATAATTTCAACAATTTGAAGGTGTAGAGAAAGTGATAATAAGGGTCCCCAATCCATTTACTTGGGTACATTTCATTCATTAGTCCCTTTTAGAGATTGTTAATACGAAGGATCATATTCACCAAACATTACTGTCCAAGGTAAATTGAAAAATTAAAGTATTTCTTTTTACGTATATTTCTATATTAAAATGAGGTACATATTCTAACTCTATTAACAAAATAAGTTTACTTAAGTTCATCACTTATACCGTTATACATAGTATTATTTTGAAGGGTTTTTTTTTTTTTTTTTTTTCTTTTTTTTTTGGGGACATCAGCAGCAACTAAATTATACTTGTATCAATTAAGAAACACGCATGAGGAAGAAATGTAACAATAGATGAGCATTACTATTACATGCCACTAGCAATATGCTCCATAAAAAAGTACTCTATTCTTCCAAAAAAAAAAAGTACTCTTTCTGTCAAACAATTTCAAAATTATTGCCATTTTATTCAAACTACAACACACAATTTCACTTAAACCCAAAATGATAAATAAACGAACCACTTTCGTTAATCGTACTAATGTCATTCCTATTAGATGAATAGTTCTTCAAGGATACATCTAGAGATAATCATGCTAACAGTCAAAAACTATCCTACCCATTTGTTTGCTTTACGTTACATAATCTCAACTATTTAAGCACTTTTCTTTTCATTGATAAAAGTCCTAATTACACTTAGACCCACCACACTAATGTGCATTTTGCGGCTTCATACATAAATACAAGTGTCCATTATTAACAACCAAAACGAATCCGACAAGTGTCGATTTGTAGATCACTTACTAGATTAGGACCCCATTAACTTTCTGGTGATTTCCTTAATCTTATTTTAATATACGAGTAATTACTGCCACAAATCATTATTTAAGCTTATGTCAAGTGTAGAGTTGTCCACTTTGTCCTGTATTTGAGAGGCATATTTATGCGGTCTTATTTTCCAACTTTATGATAGATGATGTTTTAATAGTACTACAAGTATTGCTTGAATAAAAAAATTAAAAAGAGGTCCCTAAAATGCGACCTTTATAAAGGACGTTTTTGTTAAATGAAGAGTTTAAGTGTTAAGGGCGTTTTTGTTACATGAAGAGTAGAAGTGTTCCATTGTGTTGGGTTAATATTTGAGTAGATCAACCTTGGTCCTTGGCCTAGTTTTGCTCGGTTCAAACCAATTTATGACGGGTTTAGCACTTTAGCTCAAGGATTTTGTCTAAACTCTTGACTTATTCCTAAGCGACCACGTGATCGGTTAGACCATTTTTAAAAGGGCGAGTATTTTGAGAACTTTAGGCTTATGGGATGATATTTGCTAGGGTCTCACAAAAACTTCTGGGCACGGGCCGTGAGACCCAAATTCTTGAGCTGTGGTCAATCCATCTGCTTAGTAAATGAACTACAATGCAAATGTCGTCTATACCCGACTTTATAATATACTCTCGACCGTTTCTTGCTTAGTAAAAGCCAAATACAAAAAGATTGGATAAAAAATGAAATTAGTGTTGTAATCAAGCTTTTATATAAATAATTGAGGTATAGATGCTTAATTAAACTGATCTACAAAGGTTTAAAATTAATGGGTTGTAATCAAGCATTTATATGAATAAATACATAAGATATGGATACTTGATTAAAACTGATCTACAAAGGTTTACAATTAACACTTGCTAATATCCTGCTGATTACAACTTCAAATGTCCAAAGGTATTCTCTTACTTTAAAGCCCACTGGACAGTCATGCATATACAAAGGGATTATACAACGTTCATCAACATTTTCTCCTCAAAAATCTATGTCTAATACAAAGTAATCTCTACGTTGTTAGTAAAATCGACATGAAATTAGCTAGATAATATAACTACAGGCACTACACAGTTCTAAATAAACTATCGAAACTTCTAATTCTGTCCAACCATCCGAAAGTGATCTGGTTTCTTTTCCTTTTCCTGCTGCATCTAACATTTAAGTGTCCTAGTGTCCTGCTCAAGAAGAAAACATTATGTTAGTATTATAAATTTTAAGAATAAAGGAATTATCTCTTAAACCAATAGCGAAAGTAGTAACAAATAAGCAAGTTTTTATTACCTAATGGACAAGCTATTTCACCAACATTAGTATAGCCAATCAAGCTGCAAGGCTTAATCAAGTCCTCCAATTCATGTACAATCTTACTCTGATCAACGCCAAACCCTGCTTCCTCTCTGTTACCTTCACATATCACATCATCTGCCATTAGCTTCTCCCACATTATGTAGCTGCCAGAAGATAAGTCGGGACTACTAATCTCGGATGTCAGGTTAGATTTCTGGTCCGACATTAAGCTAGAGCCTAAATCAATCGCCGAGGAGCCAAGATATGACTTTAGTTCTAAGTGAGCAGCAGAAACTTCTTCCTTATGGAATTGATCACCATGCTTTGCTATAAATGACTCCAAAAAATTATCATTAGAGACCAATCGACGTCTCTTATGTACTTCTCCACCACCCAGAACTTTGTTCTGCCTGTAGTTTTGGAGCAGCCGCTCAAATGAGTTAGTTTTTTTCATTGCCTTGGCAAGTAGCATAATGAACTCCTGTTGCTTCCATTCAACAGTCTTCATACGCTCTCCCATTGCAGCCAAGCACGTGTCCGAGTTCTGCTGCTGTTGCTTCAGATCAGATATCTCAACTTTCAGTGCCTCCTGCTCTTTCTTAAGAATTTCTATTTCAGTCTCCTTTTGATGCAGCAATCTAGCATTGCTGTTTGTACCATTACCCTGGACTCGCCGCTTTATAGTCTTCAGCAAATCTTTCTTGCCCTTCTGAAACCCTGGATGTGCAAACTCCCATCTAACAGGATGGGCTGTTGACACTTTTCTGAATCCCTATACCAATTACCAAGTATCCATCCATATCAAAATCACTACATAAATTTCATACGACCAGCAAATATTATATGAAATACAAAACTCAAATCCCAAAAAATGATAGTCGTATTATACTCTCAATCTCTCATACCATATAAATGAACCAGTTCAATCAATAGGATGAGCAATAGAATACAACTTGTATTAATCAATGCTTTTCAATTCTATCTATAACTCATCACTGTACTGTAAATTCATCTAATCTAGCAGCAAGTTCATCCAAAAGGGTACTATTAGCAATATTAATTTTGGCATAAAATAATTAAAGTCCTACATCTTAGGGATGATAAAAAATACAATACCCAATAAACAAAATGTCACCCATTTAAAATACAGTACACAAAGTACTCACATAGCTATATATTTAAATGAGTGTATTAAGCACATGAACAATTAAAAATTGATTAAAAAAGAATTAAGACGCATTACAAAGACCCGAGATCAAATTCCATCTACAACATAATGTCCATACCTCCACACTAAACATACTAAACCCGAGAACATATCCCGTCTACACAAAACATACCGAGATCAAATCCCGTCTACACAAAACTTTTTAAAACCCGAGATCAAATCCCGTCTAAGCTAAACAAAGCAATCAACACCCAATGAAAATATCACAACCAGAAAAATTAAACCAAAAACAATCCAAATAATAATAAATGGAGATAAATTACTTACATAGGTGTTAAGCTGACGAACAAAGCTGGAGAAATTGGAGTGTTTAAAATACTTAGAAAGCAAATCAGTGGAAAATTTATGTTCATCCCAAATAATAAAACTATTAAAAGATTCACCCCATGAAATAATTTGGTCACTTTCTGGGTCTTCAACCATATCAAAAGTTTTATTCAGAAAAGGGGGTGGTCCAAATTCATGTAAACTCATCAGTGGCTTCGGCATCTCCATAATTTCTTCTTCTTCTTCAACTACTTCTTCTTCTTTCACTGTTACTCCATTAACATTATTAAGCTTGTTTTCAACACCGATTCCACCGTTGAGTTGTAGTCCGAGTGATAACTCGTTGTTGGGGTCCATAATTTGCAAAAAGAACTTCAGAATTTGCAGAGTGAAAAATGGTTTTTGGGGTTTTTTGTTTTTTGGGAATTTGATTGTGAAGAGGTGGAGAGAGAATGAAAAAGATGGGTGTCTAAAAATGGAAAGGGGGAGGTGGGAAAAAAGTGTAAAAATCCAAAAATAATTATAAAGTGTCCACTTAGAAGTGGTGATGACTTGCCATTTGTAGTAAGTACATGGTGTGTGATTTTGATTTGAAGCACTTTTTTTAATTTTTTTTAATCAAATAATACTCGATCTAATGGTAAGAATTGTATTTCACAAACTTAAAGTAATAGAATCATTTTTCAATAGGGTATTTTGGGGGTGACAATTCCTGCTTATCTCTCATTCCCAAAGGACCTTAGCGTCGTTGCCGGCTTGCCCACGTATTCATATTTGGTTGATTTGCGAATTGAGATTTCAATCCGATAGAATGTCTTCTCTTAACTTACAAAAAAGAGAAGGAAAAAAAAAACGCACCTAAAAGAAATGTGTTAACTAATAGAAAACAGAGGAAGTGCGTTTTTTAAAATCAAATTTACATTTGACTTCGTAATAATCAAATTAATCATAAGAAAAAAAAACCATAGTCGAGTGAAGTCTTTTTTTATTCATCTCAAAGTCTACTTATTAAATATCAAAATATTATAATTTTGGATTTAAATAGCCGAAGATATTGCTACCTCTGTTTTTTTTAGTTAACGTGTTTATTTAATTTTTTTTTCACGTTTATTAATGCATAATTTTAATAATAAATTAAATTTTATAATACAAATTACTCGTTTTTTTTTTTCAAAAAATTAGAAGAAAATGGTTGCATATTTGTATGTTTTTGGTTGTAGTTTGATTTGATGTGGACCAATTTGGTAGGTGAAAGGGGTTTCATTAGGATAGAATTGATTTTGTTGGTACGTGGCACTCATTTTATCCGCATGAGGTATGGCCGCATGGGGCTCCTCTTCATAACATGGATACGATTTTGATTGGATTGCATTTTTACTGTTTTACACCTTGTGTATCGTGTATGTTAGGGATGACAAAATGGATTAGTATCCTATTATTCAACTTAAAATAAATTTCAGCTAAAATTATTGAACATGATTTAGAATTTTAAACATAAACTAATGTACTATAAAAATTAAGAAAATACAAACAGCCCATGTATCATACAACTTATGGCAAGGTTCAATCAGGTGTAAAGTTTACTCATTTGACATTATTGTTAATCAATGAAACGCTAATATCAGATTGTTTTACCCATTATTTTGTTTATTCACCTTTTTTTCCAATCAATCCTCATTATCTTATTTGAAATCCACTTTTTCTAAAAATGTATAAAAAAAAGGCGCAAACATAAAGCGAGTAACATTTTTAAATTTAAAATAAGAGATGATTTAGATTGATAAATAAGTAAATAATATTGTGTTTTTAGATTTTACTCAAAATAGTATCTCAATTTTAGTCCTTTTTACCATTATACATTTTAGGAAATTTTGGGAACAACTACCAATTTAAGTCCCCGTTTTGAAAACAACTACCTTTTAAAAAAAAATTTAAAAACAACTACCACAAAAATATTAAAAGTTAGAGTAGCACTACCACATGTGAAATTCCGGCAAGAATATGCGGCAACTGGGTCCCACATTCTACAGTTCCCTCCAATTTTTTTTCTCTCTCCTCTGTATATAACTGCTATTGTTCGAGCTTTAATTAAACAAAAATTCCCAATAAATTTCTCAAATTTTCTCCTTTTTTCACAAATTGAGCAAGAGGAATAATTTCTTGAACGCTACCTCAGGTAATTTGAGAATCTTATATGCTAATTTGGATTCAAAATTGGGGAAATTGGGAAAAATTGGGGAAATTAGGGTTTCGCTAAATTAGCAATTTTTGGGTAGATTGAATTGATTTATTGACATTAGGGTTTATTAATTGGTTGTTGTACATGTTTTTGCAAGATTTTACGAATTGAATCATGTCCAATTCATCCTATGAATCAGCTCGACCTATTCCTGGCAAGTGCTACTGTGGAATCCCCCCCAAAGTCGAGACTTCGTGGACTAGCACCAATCCTGGAAGAAAGTTTGTTGCGTGTAAGTTTTATGATGCCTATACTGGTAGGCGTGGATACAACTTTTTTGAATGGATTGATGTAGAGATTGTGGAATGGCAAAGGGTGATTACCAACCAGCTTGTGTTGGAGAAGAAGCTGATGAAGGCAGAAATTGCTAATTTGAAGCAAGAGGTTTGTTTGCTACAAGATCAAAACGCAAGATTGGTTGAGAAAAATGAAAAATTCAGCAAGAAATTGAAAGGTTCATCTTTGGAGTTGAAGAACTCAAGTTCCCCTGCCAAATCAGGCTACAGGACAGTGGGTTTCTATGTTGTATTTGGGATGATGATTATGTACCTAGCATTTGTTTTTATGTTTTGAGTTTTTGTACTTAGTTAATGCACAATTAGTAAATGCCACTAATTTTGTTAGAAGTACTGTGGAAGTGGAATACTTCAAATGATATGTGCATGTTTGATTGTAATTGATGATGAATATGAAATGAAAATGCAATGTTCTATTTTGCAAATAAAAGTTGAATCATATAACACAAATATGAGAATTGTTTTAGGCCAAATGACCACAAAAGCTCATAATTTGTTTTAGGCAAAATGAGAGCACACATAATTACATCATTGTTTGCAAGATTAGCAAAAACTTTCACTTTTGTATCACTGTTTTATAAAACTACAGAACTTAATACTAATAGACACTAACTAACTAAACTAAGCCTAAACTATCAAGGCTTCCAAGCTGCTTGCTTTTTCTTTGTTGACTTCACAGGTAGCTTTGATTTGGGTGGCTGTTTTGGAGGCTGCTTTGGTTTGGCAACTTATTTAGCCTTTCCTGTTGCTGAAGCCTGGGAGGAAAGTTGTGCTTGATGAATGACATTGGAAGACCCTTCCTGACTGCATTGGGGATCCATGGTTTGGGTCCCTGCAGCTGGTACATCCTGCATCAACAAAAGAGTACATAAACAAGAAATTAATAACAAAAAACAACTGTGATAATCAATTATAATAGAAGTACTCATACCTGTCTCACAACCCTTTCCATTTTGTTCTTCCTTCTCGAGACAGTCCAAGAATTTGTTGAAAAGGGCCTTCCACCCTTGTCTAATGAAGGAGGGGCAGAAGGATTTTTGCATTTGTTTTTGTAATGGCCAGCAACTCCACAGTTTGAGCATTTGTTCTGTCTTTTTGGCCTCTTTATGAACCTTGACTCTTCTCCCTCTCCTGGCTACTTCCTTCTCTTTTTCAAGGAGGGTCTCCCTGGCATCTTCTTGATTAGAGGTGGCAATGGTTGAACCATGTTGGATGTCTCCCATTGCTTCATTCCTGGCATGGGTTTGATTGTTGGGGTATAAGCTTCCAAGTATGTTTGCTTTGTGTAACATTCATGGACATAATCTTCAGGCTTGAGTCTTTTTTTCACAATACATGCCCAGGCATAAGGACATGGAATACCAGTCAACTCCCAGTGAAAGCATGTGCATGTATTATCATTTAGGTTCACTACAAACCTGTCACAGTCATAATCCACCTCCCACACATCAAACCTAGATGGCACAACAGTACACTTTGCTGCATATGATGCAATCCATTTGAACACCTTATGCACATAAGGCATAAACCTCCCCTCCTGAGCTTGAACTGCCTCCCACTTTTCTGTGTTCCTTCTCATAACATACCTTCTAATCCATTCAAGGCATGTTATGACAGGCTTATCTCTAGCATCTCTGATCACAGCATTAAAGGTCTCACAGAGGTTATTCAGCAGCATGTTTAACTTAGAGAAAGTGCTGAAAGCATGCCTTGCCCAATGTTGTGGTGGGATAGCATCTAGGTAGTTGAATGCCTCCTCATCTAAGAGCCTTATGCTTTCTAGTTGAGCATCAAAATCAGCCTAATCCAAACAAGTACAAAGGTAAACAATATCATCATCACATAAACAGAATATTGTATAGGGACATAGTTAATTATAGGAAAAGCTCAACATTAAACCAATACCTTATTTGTAGACCTTGCTGCCTTCCAAAACAGCTCCTTAAAAGTATCACCATGGAATCTGAGCTTGAAATTAGCCCAAATGTGTCTGGCACAAAACCTGACTTCTGCTTTTGAATCCACCACTGCAATAGCTTCAATCAGGCCCTGTATGTATTTGCATTCACATGCCAAAGATACATTAACTGTTATAATAAACCAAATACCAATTAACATCAGTAAACTTACCTTTTGCCTGTCTAACATTAGTGTTAGTCCATGGCCTTGTTCAAAGCCTGTGTCCTTCAACAACAAATCTAAAAACCAAGTCCAGTTGTCCTTGTTTTCAACCTCCACAATAGCCCATGCAACTGGGAATATATTATTATTCCCATCTTTACTGACTGCAATCATGATCTGGCCTGGAAAAGCACCCTTAAGGTGACAGCCATTAACACCTAGCAATGGCCTAAAACCCCTTTTAAACCCCACTTTGCAAGCCTCCAAGCAAACATACATTCTTTGAAAAAAAGGGGGAGGTTTGTTAATGCCATCAATCACAACTATGGCACTGGAACCAGGGTTCACTACTACATTTTTTACCAAATGCAACGGCCTAATAAAGGCTAATGCAACGGTATTTTAATTGCCGTTGCAATAGAGTAGGCTATTGCCACGGATTTAACACTAATGTTCTTAGAGGTAGAGCTATTGCCACGGCTTTAAAAGAGCCGTTGCAATAGCCTAGCTATTTTTTAAAAAAATGAGAGCTATTGCAACGGTATGTGTTGTATTATGAAAAATTTAGAAGTGCGCATTTCTTCCCTCTATTTTTTTCACCAAATATTTGAACAATACTTGTCTTTAATTTGCTTCCCTCTATTCACAATTCTCAAGTACAGTACCATTTTCCCCCTTTTCTCCAATTTTCCCCATTCTCACCTTAATTGATTATAGAGGACCATTTTCACAGTACCATTTTTCCAATTTCTCCATTTTCTCATCTTCTCAGATCTCATATTTTCACAGTAGATGAGAAGGAGTACGTTTTTGTTGTAGTTGTTGCATCTGATTTAAAACCCAGACCTGAAAACTACCAACAATGGCGCAACCACCACTTGCACCACCACCGCGCTCATATACCGACCTCTTCGGCGACCCAATCTACGAATTTACCCCTTTATGGTTCAAGAACAACCTCTTTCTCCCTCCTTTTGACTCCGAATCCTACATCTCTAACCTTCAAACCCAGTCCTCTCTCGCTGAACTCAATTAATCTCAAGTTAATGGTATGTATTTTGAAATAATTAAATTTATTCTAGTATAATTTGTTGAAAATGGCTCTATTTAGTTGTTAAATGCTATAATTTCTCAAAAATTAAGCTACTATTTTTTTAATTAGGGTTTTCGTAAGTAATTGCTTCAATAATTCTGATGTCATCAATTTTGTTAAATTAATTTTGCATTTTTGCTGGTTTAATTGAGAGAAAGAGAACAATTAAGGTGAGCAATCTTCTTAATACTCTTCCTGTTCTACAGTCTTACCGTAGTACTACATTTTTTTTTTATCTTATTTATGGTTTCCTTGCGTTTTGTTTAAATTTTTGTGTTTTCAATTTTTCTGATTCTGCTCAATTTTTTTTATTCTTTACTATTCAATTGATCTAAATGTATTGGCTGACGAGATCATTGAATTGTTTGTGAGCTAATTGCAGCCCACCATCCCATTATTGAGTCTTCAGAAGCAGGTGCATGAGCAGTTGGTATGCTGGAACCTACAGGTTCTACTTTTTGGCTAATACCTTGTAGTTTATTTCGTAGTATCCTTTTTAACTTTAGTTGTTTAGTGTATGTTTGGCTTTAGGCTGTACTAGTTCTGTGGCTTTCTTTTTGGTGAATGTTTTATTTCACAGCATGCATATTCTCTTATGATTACCGTTCTTCCACTGCTCTCCTTTTGAACACTTCCCTCTTTCAAACAAAAAATGAAATAGAGGGTCGTAATTGCTTGAAAACCAAACCTGATTTCCTCGGCTTTCTGTAATTCCTCTTTTTTCACCCTTTGATTTGGATAATGAAGAGTCAATGATAGATTGGTAGTAGTCTTAGTAGATTCTTAATTTTTCTCTTCAATGTGAATTAAGGCAACGACACTTGGGCGATATCAATGTCTCATGCTTTGGTGTGTCAACCGGATTTATGGAAGTTGTTCACTAGGACAGTGATGTATCATACTATAGCATTTCTGCCTAACTTACTTTGCCTCTTAAGTTTTCTATTTAAGGCAGACAGTTTATGCAAATATGGTTTATCTTGATTTGTATTGTTTATTTGATGGTGGCTCTTAAAATACTAGAAGAATGATTATACTTTGATATGGATTTTCACCTTCTTCATTCTGGTTAAAGCTATATCTTGTTTGAGATTGTTTTAGTAATAAAAAAGGTGAACTAAAATCCAGATTCTTCGGTTGTGCAGAAATTTTGAGGGGTTTAGTATTATTTAGAGCTAGATTCTTCAAGTTGTGCAGAATTTGAGGGGTTCAAATTATTTAGAGCAAGATTCTTCAAGTTTTGCTGAATTCCCCTCTCAGTTTATCACCTCCGACTGCGCAGCGGCGCCTTTGCGTTAATTGATAGCTCTAATGGCGTTTCGAGGTGTGGGTTTTCAATTGACAGCAACTATAAACTCGGATAAGCAGAGGTAAGCAATTTGAGTTAGTGGTTGCAGTTTGCTATGGTCTAATTGTAGCTTAATTGGGGTGTTCTGGTTTTTCTTATGATTAGTTATTGTTGCTAATTAATCAGAGAGTATTTGCAATTTAGTCTGAGCTAATTGTAGTTTGAATTGGTAATTATCTATTTTGATTTATAATTAGGTTGCTGTTAAGTATTTCTAATTGTTTCATGCATTGTTTTTAGGTTAATAGTTTAGTTATTGCTGCTAAATAATCAGAGAGTGTTTGCAATTTAGGCTGACCTAAGTGTAGTTTGATTTTTTTTTTATCTATAATAAATAGTTTACCGTTTAGGATTTCTAATTGTTTCATTCATTGTTTTTGGGTGGGTATGCGTTTAGCAAGGCCTTACTGGGTGATGCGGAACTCAAGTTTTGCTTGTATTTATGGTGGGTGTGTGCTGCTTGGATTAAGATTGTTTTTTTTGTGTGTGCCTACTTTCCTTTTTCTTTTGCTTTTGTGTCAATTGAGGTCGTTGCTTGCTGGATTTTTACTGTTTATGGTTGGTGATGGCAACTGCTATGTTGGAAATATGATTTAGAATCCTAATTTTAGGCAGAAAAAGCTTGGCCAGTTTTTAAGGCCTTTTCATATCTTGTCTTTTTCTGGGGAAGGAGTTAGCTTTAAGAGGGTCGGTTTACCCTTACTATATATATGACCACTCTCTTTTGAGTTGAGCTATCTGTTGGTATCTTCACTGATCAAGGTGGTTCAGGTAATGAGTTCTTGGAGCTTTATTTTGCTTATTCATGCTAATTGGTTTTTGTTATTGGACTTTTACTGGAAAAACGAGCTTGGTTTAAAGAACACTGTGACGAAAATGATCTTTACCTACGTTGATTACTCAACTGGAACAAATGAATTGTAATTTAGATAATTAGAATATTTAAAATGTCTGATCTTATATACATTTCTGTGTAAATTAGCTTAATCGATTATTTGATTATAGTTTAGGCTTAAATAAGCTTGCCTATCATACTGTTGTTAGGTTTTCAGATTTAATTTATAGTTTTTATAATTAGCTATTGGTGAGTACATTTTGGATTTAAAATTCTCAGTATATGCCATTGTGCTGAAGAAAAGAAAAAATAATATGAATGTTCTTGGTTAAAAAGTGAACTTTGAATTTGTTTGTTGCTGTGTGAAAAATCGTGTCTTAGGGGGGAAAAATTATATTAGTGGAGGCATCATTTTGGTTTGGTTCCCGATTTATAGATCTTAAAGTGACGGGTTTTGTTTGGTTTGTATTAATTGGATCATTGAATTGTACATACTTTAGGAGCATAATATAGAGGAAATGTTGGCTTGTGCGATGATGTATTGTTTATGAACGAGTTTGTCTTTTACTGCCTGTTATAGTGAGCTGAGCAGAATTTTGTGTTGCTTGCAGGTGTTTTTGTGCTATATAACTTAGTGCTCGTTCTACTCAGATTTTCGCAGGTATATACTGTCCTTAGCGTGATCTGCTATATACATTCGGGTTTAGTATGCTCTTTTAATTGCCGAAAAGTAATGTTCTGATTATACTGAGAATTTATATGTTATTCTGTTTACTTGTTTAATAATTTATATGTTATTCTCTTTACTTGTTTAATAATTTTGGTTTATGTAATTTATGAAAAACAAAATTCTAGGGTTTATGTAATTTATGAAAAACAGAATCCAGTAAGTTTCAATTTAATATAATTTGTTTTCGACTTGTTATTGGATTCAATTCGTTTTGTTTCTCTTCTTCTTGTGTATTCAGGTAAGAAGCCGCTGGTTATACAATGAAAAATAAAAAATATCACCCCTCTGAGTGAATGGGCAGCGTATAATTTTCTTCACCCTAATTTGTATAAAGATGCTGAATTTACTTCTGAGATGAAGCGAAATTGGGTTTATAATTTGAGTATTCCTCAATTTCCTTACTTACTCTCCAAGATCCGCTCTCTTCATACTTTAATTTGTAAGGATATAGAGCTTTCTTATAGGATACCTAATGCCTGTGATGATTGGATTAAGAGACAGAATGACAGGTATGTGCTTCTCTGTCTTCTTTTTTCGTGTTTCACTGAATCGAATTTATTTTTGTATGCATTGATAAATGCTGTTTGTTTGATTGGTACACTTAATTTGTTTGTGCTTTAAGGAAATTGCCATACCAAGAGAAGCATGTCCGCCAACATGCATCGATTCTTGGCAACTTGGAGGATTTTGGGGTTTTGTCTGAGAAATACTGTCAATCTGATCTCTCTGCTGTTGTTGAGTTTGGAGCTGGCGGGGGTTACTTAACCCAAATATTAGCTGATTTTTATGGGATCAATAAGGTCTTTTTGGTTGAGCGTAAGGCATACAAGCTAAAGGTCAGTGTACATTAAAACACTTCTTTATGCTCATATAAGATGTAACTAAACTCATTATATTTATGCTCATATATCTTAGTATCTTAAACTTTAGGCTGATCGAAGTCTACCACAGATAGACAACTTAACATTGGAGCGTTTGAGAATTGACCGTAAGGTTTTCCTAAAACCTTATGTCTGGTTTTTTGAGGCCTTTATCCTCGTGTGAGCTATGTTATGTTTTTGTATAGTAACTTATTGTTGCGTTACCTAGAAATATCCTCTTCTGAGCTTTTTTATGCTTTAGTACATAAAATAATCTATATGCATACAACATGATCATAAAACATAATTGACTTCAAAACCATACTGTTGTTTTGTGATACAATTAACTAAACTTATTGTTGCATTACCTATAATTGTTGCGGAAGTGGCGTTAACCTAATTTTCATAGTGGAAATTTCTTTGAGAAAAACTTATTAACTTGTGTCATTATTAATACTGCTCTTTTTTTTTCTTTTTTTATTTTTTATTTTTTATTTTTTTTTTCTTTGGGGTTCAGCATCCTGATGATTTACTTAATCCCCACCCTTGCACCTAGAGGGGCAGAATAACACGTAGTATATGTTGTCCTTAGCGTGATCTGCTATATTTAGTATCTTTGAATGTTAAACCTACCATACACAATGAATTCAATTTACTTTCTCTACTATTAATCAGATATCAAATGAAATTTGTATGAGGCTTGACTCTCCTTCAGTTAAGTCGCTTGGGTAGGCTAATTGATGCTTTCATACTGTGTTTTGTCCAGTTTATTTATAACCAGAATTCCAGCTTACTTGCAGGAAGAAATTGGAAATAAAGATTTTAATTGCATGTGTTCTTGACAAGATATGCACAAGGTTACTACAAGATTGTACGAAGTATAGTGACTAGCCATCTAACAAATGGTGCATATATGTTGGCGACTCTTATTCAAGTTCCGTCTTTGTGAAGATTTGGATATTTCGGCTTATATATATGTTGACAATTTGTATTTTGGACGATCAAATTAATTATCTAACTTTTATTTATTATTAGTACGGTATGTCATATCAAAAATAGGCAAGTAATATTTTGTAATGTATGTATTTTGCATTATAATTATTATATATAAATGATACTTTAATTTGTTTATGTTAGTATATTTAGATTTGTACTGACTAATTAATATTATATTACCATTCCATCCCAACAAAAAAAAAAAAAAACAATGATCAATCCGTTGCAGTAGATACGTACTCCTACCATTTTATTAATTAGCTTCATTCGTTGCAACAGGTTCAATTTCATCATAATTATTAGTCAGTACTCTATTGCCACGGATAAGTTATGCCGTTGCAATAGGTTCAATTTCATCATAATTATTAGTCAGTACTCTATTGCCATAGATAAGTTATGCCGTTGCAACATGTATTGATCTATTGCCACGGATCAGTGGTGCCGTGGCATTAGGTGTCATAAGCCGTTGCATTAGACCTACTGCAACGCCAGTAGATGCCACGGTACATGGCCGTTGCATTAGGCCTAATGCCACGGATTTTGATGCCTAATGCAACGGATTTAGGGGTTGCAATAGATCAAAAATGTAGTAGTGGTTGTATTTTAGAATTGCATACCCATAGTAAAAAATCCTTGCATACTCTTCTGATGCATCTCTATACAGTATCAGTTTTTCTCTAGCCCTAGCATACCAAGCCTTGTAATAACTGATATGTATGCCCAAATCTTTGTACACCCTATCCTTAAATCTTGCCAACTTACAACTAGGATCTGACCTCCAATCATCCAGATACTTCATTGCAATCCACTTTGAGTTCACTTTTGAATTACAATGAAAAAACCCACAAGTATGTTTCAGGTTCATGGTCTTCAATTGAAGAGTGGATTCACCTTTCAACTGTCTAAAATATATCCTAAAATTGCACTTATTTTCATCACCACACTTACACTCAATCAATTTCCCATGTTTTTTATCCCAAGGACATTTACACCTATTCCTACAATATGCAGTCACTCTATTGCTACTGTTATGCAACAAATAATAATCATAAGTATTCTCAATGTTGTGATTCCTAATTGCATTTCTAACTGCATAAACATTTGGAAATTTCAAACCAATTGAAAAGTTAATTTTACTCTTAAAATCTACCTCAGGATTGAAGGTTGGGTATGGATTTACCTCATCATCAGATCCATGTAAACTTCTCAGCTCCTCAGAATCATACTCAACCTCCTGCACATCACCAATGACCACATCTTCTTGTTGCACACTGTCTGCATTCACTTTGATGTCATCCTGTGCTGTGGGTTGAGATGTACCCTCACCATTTGCCCTGGCTGCAACCCTTACAGACTTGTCTCCCTCGCCATACTCTTCATCATCATCTTCCTCACATGGATCAAAATCAACATCAAGGTCAGAGAACCCTAAATCACTTGACCACTGCCCTTCATCACTGCAGTCAGAGTCACATCCTAAGTCAAGCACTCTCTTTGCTTTCTTGGTGCCTTGCCCTTTCTTCTCCTTCTGTACTCCCTTCCCTGTTTTCTTCTCCTTTTGTACTCCCTTCCCTGTCTTCCTCTCCTTCTGTACTGCCTTCCCTGTCTTCTTTTTCCTCACAGCAACACTCTTTCTTCTGGGTGTTCCAGTACTTAGGGGAGATGCAGATGCAATATTAGGGTTGGTAATGGTGGAGTTGTTGTTCACAGAAGGAACATTGGGCTCAGAGGTAGTTAAAGGATTTTTTTCACATTCAATGGGATTCTGAGGAGTGGAGGTTGATGTTTGTTGAGTGGTGTTGGATGTATGAGTCACTGTTAGGCCTCTTCTAGCCATGTGTTCTTCAAACTCCCTTTTACTGACAACCAAACCATCTAAATCCACATTTGCACCACTTGCTTTAACAGGAAATAGCCTATAACTTCTTCTCAGACCAACACTCTCCTTTTTAATGAGTTTAAGCTTCTTTGGAGGTGATTTTTTGGTGGGGTTGGACAGAATTTGGGCTGCTGGTCTAGGTGGAACATAAGTTGGATTTTTGGACCTAACATTGGGGTTGGGCCTAATTTGTGGGCTATCAGGCTCAACTACAACCCATATAATCACCCTGTCATTCATATCCCTCCTATTAACCAAATTCCTCAAGTCCTCTTTTGATTCCAACTTCCTCCTCCTATTTGTCAAATTTCTTCCATGCAACCTATACCATACACTGAAGTTCATAGGAACTCTTTTCAGAACCAAGTCATAAGCTTGTATCACTGCTCTCCTTACACTGTTCACAGCCAACTCCTTCAACTAGAAACTCAACTTCATAAACATTCCTCCCCTAATATACTCAGTCTTTCCCTTTTTATATTCAAACACACCCCATACCCATATATTCATGTCAATATACTCAGGAACAGGCCTACAATTAAATATTGTTTAATCAAATTTCAATTCATTGTTTATTAGCCATTTATAAACACATGCAAAGCAACAACACATGCTCCAACAAAAAAAAAATACAATTTCTAAAAATCAAAGCAGTAACAACAACATTATTTAACTAATTAGTCGCATTGGGTACTCCAATTGCTTAATTATAAGTTAATTTACTTAATTTAGGGTTTCCAGTTCTGACATTGTTCAATAAAAAATTAGGGTTCAAGTCAAACATTACTTTCCCAAACAAAACGCCATAGATTTTAATTAAAATTACAAACTATACCTGACTTTAAGTGGAATTTGTCCTTGCTCAGCTGTCACCATCATCCCCTTCTCCATTAAAGCTCCAACTGTCCCAATGTAGAAACGACAACTCCACTTTCGTTGCAACTTTGGACCACCGCGACAAAGACAGAAAAGGTGGGGAATAGTGGGGCGAATTCAATGACCTAAGTGTGAGGTGAGAAACTGCGAATATACTCTGAGAATTTCAGATAAACTTGACAATGGAGGTTGAACATAGAATACGGGAGAGTTAGGCGGGAATTAATTGAGGAGAAGGGAAGGTGGTTGGGTGTAAATTAAAAGAGGGGTAATAAGGTAATTTTTCATGGTCAAATTGGAGGGAAATGTAGAATGTGAGACCCAGTTGTTTCGGGGTTTTCTGATGTCCTGCGGGAGAGTTACAATTCCGAGACTGGAACCGGACGCCTGTACCTGCAAAAACAACGGAGACTCCTTGTGGTGGGAGCTCCGCCTCCAACGGTCAAGTTAGTACTTGATTAAGGAGTAATTAATGCGGAAATTAAAGTGATTGGGTCTCTCTAGGTGAGAGTGTTTAATGTGTGTAATCTGCTTTTTTAGCGTGATCTGCATGTAATCCCCCTTAATGAGGATTAAGGGAGGTATTTATAACGTCGGGAAACGTGCCAATCTAGGTTTAGGTTAACCTTGGGCTGATTGGGCTTCCCTCGGAAGTTGGGCCTAGGTGACCGGTTATCCCAAGTGTCATGGGAAGGACACGTGTCGTGTCGTAATTGGTCCATGGTGGACGGATCATTGCTTGACACTTGGCATGCTCCTATTGGCCCATGTGACGGACACATGGCGGAACCTGATTGGTCCACTTGTCAGATGGTGATTGGTGGGAGCAAAATCCCCTAATCATTTGCCCCTCACAGGTGGCACGTGACTGGTCACGTGTTACCTGTGACAGGTGTCGCACTGTAACAGGCGACGACCTGCTACAGGTGTCACTCGGCGAAAGGCCGAGAGATTCTCCCGCCCAAATTATGAATTCTGGAAGTGACCCTTCGCCTTCTCACTTTGCCTATATAAAGGAGTGTTGACTTCGGTCATTTTCACACTTGAGAACTTTGTGAGAGAACATTCGGACCCCTGAACTTGCTCTGACATTTTGGACCCTTTCTGCCTACCGCCTGCTCTGACAAGCCGACTGCACAGGATTTTCAGAACTCCATCAACGTCACTCGTTCAGGTAACCGTCGGTTCTCTTACTCTTAATTTTCTCTTTACTTTATTCTTTTTTGAAATGGCACCACGGAAGCACACGACACGACCTAGGTTAGTGATCAGCCGGTCACCGGGGACGGCTGAATCTAGGACTAGGAGTGCCGCCTGCCCTTTTCTGGACCCATCTTTGCCCTTTATACAAAGTCCGACTGTATCTGTGTCTATGCAGAGCATGATGGCCAGGACAAAAAAGACTGCCAGGATCTCAAACTCAGACGGCTCCTCCCACAGGGTGCCGATTAGTGAAACATCTGACCAGGCGCCAGATGTGGAGGTGAAACAAAGCGACTTGAAAGCCGGCAGTTCTGAGGGAGGAGTCAAAGTGACCCCTTCCCATTTTACATTTGACAATTCTTCATTCTCTCCTGCTCCTTTTAAAGGAGAGGAGGCGGGCCCCTCCGGGAGAGGGGAAGAGTCGTCCTCTTCGGACTCGTCAGAGGACGATTCCGAGTCTAGCTCTTCTGGCCATGCTTCTCTAGACACAGAAGAGAAAAACAGTCGCCTACAAGAGGCGAGGCTTTCTCACGCAGTTGAGAAGGGGGACGATTGGGCGGAGCCATCCGCCTCTCACCGAGAGCAAAATACCCCCTACTACTGCACGGTACCTCGGGGCTGGATCACGGCCATGCAAGAGAAAGTGGAGAGCTTTATCGCAAACCACACAATGGGCCCCAGCTTTTTAGTGTTTGTGCCGGATCCAGAAGACACAGTCGTCTGGCCGGCTGGTACCTATTATGATAGCGCCTTCTTTGGCTGCTATGAGGAGGCCATCAAGGCTGGGATGCGCTTCCCACTACATCCGGCTGTTTAGCGGATCTTGGATGGGTATGAGTTGGGGTTATGGCAGTTAGCCCCGAACTCCTGGGTCAATGTACTCGGCTATGTGGCCGGGTGCCAACTGCACGGGGTGGAGTCGAGCTTCGAGGCTTTCGCCCACATGAACTACCTCAGCCGGACCCCTAAGGCAGGCGGTACCGGCTGGTATCAGTTGACGAGCCACAGGGGCTACCTCATGACGAGAGGTAAAGCAAACAAATGGAAGGACTGGCGGAGCACCTTCCTCATCATTGAGAGTTCAGACACAGAGCTGAACAAGCGCTTCAACAGGTGGAATAGGAATCCGCCCCTTCTTGCAGGCGGCCGCAGCATGCCGCCTGTTCCCCCCAAGGCTAAGAAAGAGATCCTAGATAAAGGACTCTTCAAAGTAGAGTCGAAGGTGAACTCTACTTCAGGGGTACGAGAGCA